AGGTTTAGAGACATCTGGGAATCTACCCGAGGTGTCTGATTAGGTTAGGGGTTTGACAACACTTTTGTTCACCCTGTTAAACTCAGAAAGGGCTGGCACATAGTAGTCGCTGTAATCATTTGCGAAGTCTAGTTGGATAAATTAGGTCACCATGCAACTCTGGGTAGGGTCCTGCCTTGAAATCCAGGTTTGACTGCAGGGACCTCTGGCTTTGCCCTTCCCTGGCCTTCTGATTTATAATGGTTGCATAGAGACATTTCTTAAGGATTTATGAGAAGTACTAAAAATAAATTACATTGGGGTAGTAAATCCAACTTTTTAAAATTCTATTTTAGCACATGTACTACATCGCAGCAAAATTCCCATACATTTCAGTGATTTGTTCTAAATTACCTTTTTGATCCCCCCCATAATTATTTGGTTATAACTTACAGGAGAAACAAGATAGCAGTAGAGTAAATCAGTACATTAAGAATTATAAAAGCCAAGACTGCTAAAATAAATAAATTTATTTATATATATATATAGTAGTTCCCCTTTATGGGGGTGATGGGGATATGTTGCAAGCTCCCCAGTGGAGGTCTTGAAGCCTTAGATTGTACAGAACTCTATATATACTATTTCTTCCTATATATACATACCTGTGATAAAGTTTAATTTATAATTTAGACACTGTAAGATTCATAGTAATAACTAATAATAATGATTATAATGATACATGCTAATAAAAATTTTGTGAATGTGGTATCTCAACATGTTGTATGTGTTGCGTTGGCCATGTAGCAAACTGAAATTATGGAAAACAAAAGTGAGGAATACTGTGTTTTTATTTATTTATTTATTTATTTATTTAGGAATACTGTTTAAAGTTGTCATTTTTAATATTTAAAAGTTCAGGTTACCAAAATGCATACCACTTATGTCCAGTGCACTTCTTTGATAGCATTAGTGTCCTAATTTTTCTATCCAGAGGTGAATGATCATTCTTGTTAAATTCTTATGTATTCTTTCAATAATAGTCTGTGAGTATTACATGACCCCTTTTCTTTATATATTTCCAAATGGTCAGATTTGGAATTGGTAATACTACCAATCTATCCATGATAGTATTAGTGTGGAATGAAGGCTGTTGACTCTAGTGATTTAAGAGCCTGGATTTGCAGGCAGACTTAATCTGAGTTTATTAATTCTGTCTCTGTCACTCGGGATGGTTAAAGTTAAGATGCAGCTATTTTTTCTTTTGTGAATTTCTACCTTTATACCTTCTTTGTAAGGATTAAATGGGATGATGTATGTGAAAATGCTGGCACATAACAAATGCTCAGTAAGTAGTCTTAAAGAAATAATACTTATAAGGAAGTTAGAATTTCTAGTTTCTAACTGTCCATTAATCTTTGTTAGATTTGGCTGCTGAAATTATTTGTAGGGTTATTTTGGATGTGTTTCTTGTGCAAGATCTATTTTTGTCTTAGCTCTATATTCTATGTATTTATATATTTTTAAAACATTTGTTTATACCATACTGGAACAATTAGTAATTTGATATCTATTTCTGTAGCTCATTTGCATTCTTACTAAAACCAAAGGGATTCTGAAATTAAAATTATAAGTGTTATTATATAATTCAAAATGAATGAATAAAGATTGGCTGTTCCTTTTTTTTAAACTGGTCTGGGATTGGGAGCAGATACATTTTTTGTAATGGTAGAAAACAAGTATAAAATATAGCAGATGTCAGGCCTATTTTGAAATAAAGCTTCTTTTCAGTAATTTTGGTCAGTATTTTTTTGTTTATGTACAGTTTTGAAAGTAAAAAGTAACTCTCTTTTGCTATTTTTTTTTTTTAATATAGGAAACGAGATTATGAAGGCTATTTATGCTCCCTGCTGCTGCCTGCAAAATCCAGGAGCTCTGCTTTTGCATTGAGGGCCTTCAATGTGGAACTGGCTCAGGCTGGTATTAAAATACCTTTACAAATTATTTGCAAAAGTGGCACTATAGTGTGTTTAATGCTGAACAACAAAGAAAATTTGTTGTAATTTATGTTAGATATGTTTAAGGTCTCTGCTCATGATGTCTTTCTCCTGCTGTTTAGCCAATTCCAAATATGAAACTAGCTAATGAAATTAATGTTTCTGGAAATACCATTCTGGACTTTTACATTTCTTTTTCTAAGTATATTATTAAATTATTCAGCTAACATTGTACATTTGCCTGTTAATTGAATAGGTTAATAAGAGTACTACTGCTATCCTTTCTAAGAGGTACATAATTTGCATGTATATAACAATTTTTGAAAGTACTTTTTAAGTCGAGGCTTTAGTTGTAAGGTGAAATGGAGAACAGAAGCAATTACAGCAAATGCAGACCTTAGATTATACTTACTTTTGTTTAAAGAATTACAAAGGAAGAAGCTACTATACTTTTTTGTATTAGAGAAAAACGTGTTGATGCAGCATAAATTGAAATGGAGACTAGAATCAAGGGAATTGAAGTAGAATGGCCTTGATCTCAGTAAATTAGGCAGTTACTGTGAATAAGGGGGCATGGGAAGGTTTGTAGTCTTGAAGAGAGAGGCAAGTTTTGGCACAGCTTCTCTGCTAACAAGAAGTGAACTAGGAATGAATAAAGAAAGTGAGTATAGAACAGAGGCACTACTGAGGTTGGAGACTGAATCTGCTGAGAGTCTATTAGGCTCTGGTTATTTTTCCTTGGGGTATTTCTAGGAGTCAGGAGTACATACTTTTTCATGTTATCCTTTTTCAAGTATAAACTATATATACATCAACATCTCAAACTTTTCACTGTTTAGCAATAGAATCCTCATTGTGAGCCGCCATTATAATTTTAAAATGATAAAAATTCCACTTTTAATAAATACTGTGACCCCTAGCTCCCCTGCTCCCCCAAATTCTCCATCACCTTTTTTCTTTTTTTCTTTTATATATTTTTACATCATTTTTCATTTTGGCATTCTTACTAAAACCAAAGTGATTCTGAAATTAAAATTATAATGTTATAGTCCCCATACAATTCCCCAATTCCCACCCCCCTTGTTTTGATCCTACTCCCTCTTCCCCCTTGTAGTGTGTGTCTCTGGTTTATAGTTGCTTGTTGATTTTGATTTTTACTTTATTATAATTAGTCTTTTTCCTGGTCCCTTATTTAGGTTTTCTAAATTCCTGCTATGAGTGAGACCATCCGGTATTTTTCTTTTTCATTCTGGCTTATTTCGTTGTCTCCATCACTTTTTAAAGAGTGTTTTGCTGCTACTCTACACATAGTCTTGTTTGCTCATTCACTCAGCAACTATTGCTTTTCTAAAATATGTTAGGCACTGTTTCAGATCCTGGGGATGTAATATTGAATAAAACATACCGAGGCCCTGTACGCAGGCAACAAACAAGTGCTGTGGAGAAAAATTAAGGGGGATAGAGAAAGCAACATGCTGTTCCTATTTTATGTAGGATGTTGAAAATTCTTATTGAGCAGTGGTTTTTGAGTCAATATTTGAAGGAGGCAAGAGACTGAAATGTAGAGGTGAAGAGGCACAAGTGTGCCATATATCAAAGAAAAGGAAGACCAGTATGGTACAGTAGAAGAGGGAGCAAGTGCTTGGGAGGAGATTAGGTTGGAGGTATCTGCACCAGAAAGGAAGGCCTTAGAGATTAACACAACCACCTCAGCTTTTACTCAGCGGGGAAACCATGGAGAATTCAAAGCAGAGAAGGACATCATCTCTTTGTCATATTTTAAAAGGACTACTTTTGCTGCTATATAAAGAGTTTTAGAGTAATGTGACTACATCATGGCCCTTATCCTTACAAACTTGAGGTGGTATTTCATAAGAATAAGAATATTCTGTTACATAACCACAGTACAGTTCAGTTTTAGGAAATTTAACATTGATATAGTATTTTTATGATCTGCTTTCAGGTTTCAAGTTTTTATAAATAACCCAGTGATGTCCTTTATGGCATTTTTCCTTTTTGTACAGGGTCCAATCTAGGATCAGGTATTGGATTTAGTTTTCATATCTCTTTAGCTTCTTTTAATCCAGAATATTGACAGCCTTTCTTTGTCTTTTATGACATAGACGTGTTTAAAACAATACTATTCTTTCAAAAAATTTTTCATTTGGTGTTTGTTTTATTTTTAGTCATGTTATATTCTGCCTTCCTAACCTAATAGTATCTTAGTAATATATTTCCTTTTTGGGAACTCCTTTGTCTCTTATTAGTAATAATTTTGGTTACCAGTCAAGGTGGAAATATTTTTTCCCTTGCTGTAATAAGCAATCTATGAGGAAACATTTTAAAACCATGATCTTCATCAAATTTACCTCCTAGATTTAACATGCATTGCCGATTCTTGTCTGAACTTACCAAGGCTATTCTTTTTTTTTTTTTTTTTTAAATAGAGGCATGTTTTATTTATTTATTTATTTGTTTGTTTGTTTGTTTATACATGCACTGGGTACAGTCAGAAGCGCGGGAGGGTGAGAGAATTCACCAGAGCCAGAGCGGGGAGCAGAGCAGGCAGAAGGACCGAAGTACACTGCTGAGGGGAGCAGCGGGCGGCAGGAGAGGTCTGCGTGCCATGCGGGACCCTCCCCCGGTGGCCGGGGAGCAGCCGGGGATCGAGCCGGCGCTGCAGAGGCTGCGGGCAGCTTCGCAACCCAGCGCTCAACCGCTGCGCCACCGGGGAAGCCCCCAAGGCTATTCTTAATACTAGCGAATGAAGGACACAGTCTAATAATCTCTTCAAAAATCATTTAGTGGGTGAATGAATGAGTTTTTAGATGTACATACAGTAAAATCCACTTTCTGTGGTATATAGTTCTATAGGTTTTGAAAAATGCAATCATATATTCACCACCATAGTTATGATGTAGAATTTTCTATCAACCACAGATTCCCTCATCTACTTCTATGTAGTCATCCTCAACATTATACTTTTGCTCATCCTTCTACTTCTAAGAGCTGTGAGTATGTAGAGCTTGGGATAAACAACCACCTTTTTGAACTGTATTTTGCATATTTGGCTGTATTGGTGATGACCTGGTGCATTTGTTACGGGGATTATGACCACATAATCTCTGGAGCAGTCCCTAACACAGAGCCTAGCACTTGTAAACATTTTCCTTCCCTGGTTTTATTTCCTTATCTTCAGGCTTGAAAGTATTTTTACTATCAATAACCTAATGAGGGTGGTTTTTCTTCTCTTTTACTTATTTTTTAAAACCTTTTTATCATGGAACATTTCAAAGAATTAGAGAGTAGTATAATGACCTGCTAGATGCCCATCACCCAGCTCTAGCCATTACTAACTTAATGTCAATCTTGTGTTTTAATTTTTGTTCAGCCCTCACCGTTTCCACCTCTAGATTACTTTGAAGTAAGTCTCAGATAAATTTTCCATCTATATTTCAGTATGTATCTCTAAAAGATAACTCACTTAAAGAAAACCCTACAACATCATTACCATTCATTAAGAATTTAACAATAATTTCTTAATACCATCATCCTCTTAATTTTTTAAAATCTAACTGTTCCCTCTCCCTCTCTTTGTTTTCTATCTTGAGAAATCTCCTGTTGTTGAATACAGACTTAGAAAATATTTTTAAATAAGCACCAAGTAATTTGCAGCTCTTATTTAGGAAACTAATAGTGACAACAGTTTAACTGAAAGTAATAGTGACAACAATTTAACTGAAAAGTTAAACCACATATGTAGAATTAAACTTGTTTTTTGGCTGGTTATGTGATTATACAGTCACAAATATCAATTTTCAAGACTGAAAATAGTATATTGGTTATAATTTTTAAATCCTATTTATAGATTAAGGACTCAATCTCTGAGAAAACAATTGGATTGATGCGAATGCAATTTTGGAAGAAAACTGTGGATGATATATACTGTGACAATCCACCACATCAGCCTGTAGCCATTGAATTATGGAAGGTAAAGAAAATTGCTTTTACTTTGTAAATGTTATTTGAGCCTATTTTTTGATGCATATAATTTGGATAGTGGCAATGGGGAATGTGGCCTGGATCTGTTCTTAGGCACATGTAATGTTCAACTCCATGTTAGTTTTGACTAAGGAATTTAAAATCATCTAATAATTTGCACTGATCTTTGGTGTATTTTTTACTAAAGGAAAAAGGAGGATTCTGGTCTCTTTGTATTGTGAATTACTCACCTTCCTCATATTGGTTGTAAAATTTAAACCTGTGAATTTTGAAGCAATGCAGGTCAATTTCCTGTTCTCTCCTTTCCAGTGCTTTAGTCCACACTCCAGGCTGTAGAAAGACCTGAGTGGATCTTTCTTGAAGGAAGATTTGCTCTCACCATTGTTCAGCCATATCCAAAATTATCTTATCTATTTTGAAAGAATTGCTGTTTCATTGATAAATTTTAGATATTAAAGAATCAAAGCTTTTGGGCTATAGTATTATTTGTATAGCTAAATGTATGTAATAAATAATTTTACATTAAAGCAGCTATATAGATCCTTCATTCATAAAGAACCATGCTCAGTTTAGAAGTATGTTAAAAAATAAAGGGAGGAAATTAGGTGCCTTTTGTCACTGACCTGTGTTCCCGTTGTAAAATGATGAGTGCCAAAAGACAGATTCTATAACAGGAGCCACCGAGAGACCTGACAGTGGTACACCTCTTCTCAGGTCTGCACACCAGCAGAGGCAGGCCACATTTCTGGGCCCCAGAGTGACTGCACAGAATCTCAATAAGGATGAAAGCCAGCTCCCCATCCTCCCAACTTCCCACCCCCACCAAGCCAGGGATCCAGAAGAAAAAGTAGATAGGAAATTGTGAGTAATAGGTGGTTGTTTACATCTTTTCATACCACTTCAAGAACCTTAATCTGGTGACTCAATTTAGAGAAAAGTTTCTCTAAAAGCCAGAGATTCTAATATTTTACACAGCAACCTGACTGCAGGGGATGCTTATCCTAAGACTTCCATGGAAGGTTATGGAAGGTTCATGGAAGGTTAGGATATACCATGGAAGATCAGATTTCTTGAAAAAATTTATCTTATTTTGGCTCCTCTTGAAAAAACCAGAAGACATACCTAAATTATGCAATGTTTATATGTGAACCAATTTGTCCAGTTTTCACAGCTGCTTAAATTTTGATGGTTCATGTAGGCCAGCTTTCTACTAAGACCAGTGGTGAAGGTTAATATGTATATTTGAAAGAAGCCGGTAGCATTCAGAGCAGTTGTCCACATTGTGTTTTCTCTGTCCCTTATGGTTCTGTTGAAGCATATGCTTATTGTACCACTGTCCAGTAAAACTTTACATTGGTTCTTTGAAGAGTGTCGGGTTCTTTAGAAGATTAAATAGGGAAGCAGTGACAATATTTTGTCCTTAGAGTCCTTTTGTGCTGCTATTTCATTGGTGTTTTTAGGGTACAAAATAGCTAAATGTCAGTAATTTCTTATACATTCCATATGGGCTTCTCCATTTCTCTGTGTATTAATATTAGTTGCAGTTTGTATATATATTTATAGCCAAGGTTTTCATTCTATTTGGTTTCCGTTTCCAAAGTTGTTGATACTTTATTCGGTGGGTTTTTGTCTTCTTTAAATATTTATTTTTTACCTTGATCGCTCACTTTCTTCAGAATCAGACTGAAAAATTGTTTTTTTGTGGTCAAGGAACTGCAGCCATAAGATCCTCTCCTGTCTTGCCTGCTGCTACTTCTTTTTTTTTTTTTTTTTTAATTTTTAGAGGCATGCTTTATTTATTTATTTAATTTTTTTTGTTTGTTTGTTTTGTTTATACAAGCACTGGGTACAGTCAGAAGCGCGGGAGGGTGAGAGAATTCACCAGAGCCAGAGCGGGGAGCAGAGCAGACAGAAGGACTGAAGTACACTGCTGAGGGGAGCAGCGGGCGGCAGGAGAGGTCTGCGCGCCAAGTGGGACCCTCCTCAGGTGGCCGGGGAGCAGCTGGGGATCGAACCGGCGATGCAGAGGCTGAGCACAGCTTCGTAACCCAGCGCTCAACCGCTGCGCCACCGGGGAGGCCCGCCTGCTGCTACTTCTGTCAACAGTGTATTTCAGTAGATCTGTCTGTTCTCCCCACTCTGTCTCTGGTGAATCCTCTCACCCCCCCACTGGCCTGCACTCCAGTTCTTGTATACATAAAGAAATAAAAAATAAGTCTTTTAAAAAAAGGGAAATATAGGCTATTCCTAAGACAATGTTTTAGTGCCATATTTGTTGTAAAAATATATTTAGTGTTGACTTAGCAAGTAAACAGTTTTTCTAAAACTTATTTGGAAATAAATTCAAACTTTCAAAATTTAAAATAGTACAAAGAATATCTCTATATTCTACCCAGATTCACCTACTGCTAACATTTTATCCTATTTGTTAATCATCTGTGCATATTTACTCACAAGTGTGTGTGAGTTCTCTCATGTATATATGTATTTTCATGCTCAATTTTTTTCCTGAAGTGTTTGGGTGTAAGTTACACACATGCGCGCGCACACACACACACACACACACATCATGGCCCTTTATTCCCTGAATATTTTCGTATTTGCTAAGAGTGGAGATATTCTCTTATATAACCAGGGCAGTTAGTGACTTTAGTAAATTAACAATATAATACTTCTGTGTAATTTTCTGTTTATATTCCAGTTTTGTACAGTTGACCCATAATGTTTACTATAGTATTTCTCTTCTCTAGTATAAGATCTGGTCTAGGGTCAGGTATTTAGTTGTTATGTCTCCATAGCCTACTTTAATCTGGAACATACCTATAGCTTCTTTTTGTCTTCTATGGTGCTGAGATTTTTAAATATAACATTCCTTTTTTTATTTTTATTTATTTTTTTTGGGTGTGTGTGTGTGTAGAACATCTCTCATTTGGGGTTTGCCTGATGTTTTCTCATGATGTTTTCATCAAAATTATTGCCTGGCTTTTCCATTGTATCATTATAATTCCTGTTGCAACCAATCCACTTTGACTATGAAAATATCCTGCTCTTCATTAGTTTCCTGCTAAACTTAGCATTCATTGTATGATTCAGTCTTTACTAGTATGATTTCAAAATGATAATTTCCAAACTGCAGCACCCTGTCCGCATTTACCAGTTGGCATATGGCATTCTGCTATAAGCAAGAGCTTACTCTCTTGCATCTATATATTTTTAAATTAATTATTGGTATACATTAATGAATTCTGGATTTTTCAGTAGTTTATAATTCATCACTAAATTTTTAAAGCATTTTTCTATTTTCTGTCACAATAAAATTTTCTGTGGTCATCTTGAATCTGTTACCTCAGCTCTAGACTCATACATTTCCTTTGGAAGAATGTTATTAGAGACCAGGAGCTGGGTATTAGGTGGTCTTCCCTATTGGGCTATCCTTATTTGCTAACATAACATTTACCCTGCAGATAATTATTGAGTTTTACTCTTTTCTTTTTTGGAGAACTGGTTATTTTCATTAAATAGAATCTTTATCCTGAGGAAAGAAGTAGGTATGTAATAAGTAAACAAAGAAGTCAGGGTGCATTACATAACAGAAGCTCAGTATTTAATTCTTGTTTTGTTTTTCTTTTGAAAGTGGAATTGTTAAATTACGAGTAGTTTTAAGAACAAAGGAAGGTTAGTGGAAAAGTTTTGGATGTATTATCTTTGCTTGGAAATGTTTCCTGGGGGCATTTTCTTTTTCCCTGATATTTCTTGAACACAGTCATACCTCTGGTGATGAGTTATTTATTAAAATATTCCCTTACCTGGTTTTGTATTTGGTTTGTTTATTCTGGCCCATAGAAGTCATTTCTAGTACTTTCTAATACTTAAAACACTCTTGTTTTTTAGGCTGTCAAAAGACATAATCTGACTAAAAGATGGCTTATGAAAATCATTGATGAAAGGGTAAGCTGAAATTGCTAAACTAAGTTTTTTCCTCCTTTTCAATTTTTAAACTAATTCTCTAGAGAGAAAATGTTCTAATACATGTATTAATATGTTGGAGGAAGGAATTTTTAGATAACTGTGCTGTTTTAACCATTCTCCACTACTGCATGCTACCCATTTCAGTTCCCTGCCCCAACACTTTGAGACAGACAGGCAAAGACAGGCACCCAGGCAGAGACATGCATATGCACACCCACACTCTACTATGTTGGTGTCATTTTAAATGGAAATTTTCAGACTTACACAAAAGTAGAGAGAATAGTATAATATACTTTCATGTATGTGTCATCCAGCTTTAATAGTTATGAGCACATGTTCAGTCTTATTTCATCTATATTCTAGCAACTCCCTTCACTAACGCCCATTGAATTACTTAAAAACAAATTTCAGACATGATGTCATTTGGTCTTAAATATATAGATAAAAACTTTTAAAAACATAAGAATACAATTTAATAATCATACCTTAAAAATTATGAATGATCCTTTAATACACATAATTATATACACACATGTAACTATATACACACATAACTATATACACCTAATACTTGGTATCTTTTGAATAGAGGGGAAAAGAGAGGTCTAATGGTTCCTGTACTGAGTTCTTAGAACTGGGTTCTAGTTCCAGCCAAGCTTGCAAATTGCTCTATGACCTGGTCAACTTTTGTAATTTTTCTGATTTATTGTTGGCTCAGTGTCCTCATTGACCTGATATTTATCACATGCTGTTGTCATGAAATTTTAAGTTTACTTAGTTTATTTGGATATATGCTATCAATAGCCACATACTTTAGTATTAATAATATAAGCCAAAAGAGATAATGTATTCAACATTAAAAAAAAAATATATTTCAGTTGACCTCTATAGAATCAATTAGTACTGAGGTATCTATTTTTCAGAAAATTAGAGAACTCAAAACAGAGTTGCTTTTGTTTAATGGAAAATAATATTTGGCATTTTTTGAGAGGTATTTTTAAAAGTAAAGGGCTAAGATTATTCTCCCTACATTGGCCTGTAGAGGTAATGCAGTTCCTATAAAAATTCTGCCTTTTTTGCAGAAATAGATAGGCTGATCCTAAATTCATATGGAAATGAATTCATTGACCTGCACATATTTTCCCCAGGATGATTGCTGGTAACAATTTTTCCTGATTAAAAATAGGAGTAAGAGGTGGGAGATAATTCTACCTCAGCAGTAGAATTTTTATAGTGGCTAGGTGTTTTTACTCTAAGATTTACATTTTTCTGTTTCTCAGATATAGTGTGTTTGGGTAATCACCCTGTTAATTAGTTGAGCATGGTTTCTTTTTTTAGGGGTTACGTAGAGGAGGCATTTTACTTTCTTTTTTCTAGGCATTTTGTTCCTTGTTAAGAGCATAGGCTTAGTCAAAAGGTATGGGTTTGAATCCTGTCCTCATCACTTATTAGCTGTGTGACCAACTTGATGTATTGTGACTATTTTTTCATCCACAAAATGAAAAAAGCATTAATTCATTATCTTTTGGAAGGTTGTTAAGATTAAGAAAATAATGTCAAAAGTGCTTAAATAAGAACTCAGTATAGTAAGTTTCTCATGATACCTTAGATTTAAAGAAATTAAAATTAGGCTGACCCCATGTCGATGGTAAGTTGTGCATTGAAATTATTCCTGCAGTATTATTTTGAAGGGGTGATTCATAAGTATTAATCTATAAAACTTTAATTTAAATTTAACCTTATTTTTTCTGTACTTAACTATATTTACTAAATATTCTTATTCTTTATTATTCAGTTCTTTACATAAAAAAGAACAGTGCCTTCTCTTTATAAAATGTTGACAATTTAGCAAACTTTATTGGAATTTCGCTTGACTGTAGGAAAAAAATTTGGATGACAAAGCATATCGTAATATTCAGGAACTGGAAAATTATGCTGAAAACACACAGAGCTCTCTTCTTTATTTAACACTAGAAACATTGGGTAAGTTTTTGTTTTTTTTTTAATTTCACACTCATTCAAAGATGATACCTTTCATACTTCACACTTTCATAATTTGACAGTCTAACCAGTTCAACACAGAAGCTTTTCTTTGTACCATCTGTAAAAGAACAGTTTTTCTTCTTTATTTTTTAAAGCAAGAAGGGGATTAAGTATACCTTTCTTTGGAGTGCAGACTAATTAAAATGCTGAGGCTTTCATAAAAGTGTTTAGGTACCTCATGGGAATGCTGTAATTAATTATAGGTGATTTTACTTTGTTATAATAGTGTCTCCTACATTTTGGAGGACCTGTGGCCTTACTTTTCCAAGTTAAAAAAAAGTAGGAGAAAACAAAGTGCATCTCTAAAAGTTTTTAGGAGATTTTTTTAAAAAAACAAACTAATTTAGATGATACTTTTCCTTCTCTAACTTTGTTCTGAGTTGGTGAAGTCTTATTGTAATAAGATTGTAATGAGGAAATTATTTGGGACAATGACAATACCAGCCATTTGAAGAAGGTCATAGATCTTTATGTCACCCTAAAAGAAAAATACAAGTCCTTGTTGAATTTCCCAGGCTTGTTCTGCCTGCACACTTAGTGACATGTTTGCCAACACAATGAAAGAAGGGAGCAAAGAGCAGAACGTTTGTTAAGCATATACTTAAAATGAGGTCATATGGAAATTGCACCGAAGAGAAGAAATGGAAGACTTGTAATGTTTTTCCACATTAGCTGATTAAAATTCCAAATGTGTTCTTGGTATGCTGGAGTCTTGGAAAAACTCTTTTATTTAAAAGTTGAAGTTCAGAAACCTGTTAGTGGTAAATGGTCAGCTTGTCTTAGGGCCCAGTGTGCTCTCACAAATCCTGATTTTCAGATGTAACATATAGGATAAAAACCAGTTTTATGTATGTGGGTGATTTCTCATGCTGTTTTTACTGATTTGTTGTGCATTGTTTAATTTCTAAAATCCCAGGTATAAAGGATCTCCATGCAGATCATGCTGCAAGTCACATTGGAAAAGCACAAGGCATTGTCACTTGCTTGAGAGCAACCCCCTATCATAGTAGCAGAAGAAGAGTGTTCCTTCCTATGGATGTTTGCATGCTGGTATGGCTTTTATTTGTACCCTCTGATAATGTACCTCAGAAGTATGGGAAGGGAAGCTACCTCTTGGTTTTTTGTTTAGTTTCGTCAAGTAACTGCTTTGAAACAAATGCTTATTGCTTTTTTACTCCAGAGTTATAACGTCAGAATTTTATCAGCTAGCATTTCAGATGTCTGGTGGAGCTATGAAATAAGAGGGTTCAGAGAACCTCACTGGGTATAACTTAATGTTGATGCCTTACTCCTGTCCAGGCAATTACAGTAATTATTTCTAGTGTTCAGTTTAGCCTTTTCATTACTTTAAAAGAGAAATTAATCCATAAAAAAATTGTTTATATGAGAACTTTTGTTTTCTCAATAATGAGATCCATTGTTGTCTGTTCTTTTAAAGTTCTTATATATGTTTTCTTCTATATTTTTGTTCCACCTACAACTACTGTTAATACCTTGTTGCATATTCTTATAGACACACACACATTTTTAAAAACAAAGTAGGCATTATACTGTATACACTGTTCTTCCACCTGTTTTCTTAGTTTTAGTCTGCTTTTAGTTCCCTAACATCATGTTTATTTTCCCACACAGCATGGTGTTTCACAAGAGGATTTTCTACGGAAGAACCAAGATAAAAATGTGAGAGATGTGGTATATGACATTGCCAGCCAGGCACACTTGCATCTAAAGCATGTAAGTCACCTCTGTTTGCTAAATCATTTATGAAACGCCTTTCTAGATGTGGCTATTCTCCAGGGATGGTTATGGTAATCCCCTCTTAGTGGTCTTTATTCCATCTGTCATTGAATTTGCAATAGATCTCTCTCAGGGACTATTGTAAACTTACTCACATTTTAAAAATTCCCCTATTTCCCTCTCAGCAGTTGAACACACCTTTTACTGAGTAAGTCAAGCCTCAGTTTTCTCAATTAGGCTCTCTCTGCTCCATCTACTCATCATCTCCCTGCCCTTCAGGGGATAGCATATCTTTCTACCCTGCTAATTCCTCTCCCATCTTTTCCAGGGCCTTGCATCCTTAGCAGACCCAAATTGGGTTTTCAGTATACCTGTCCGATAATTTGTACCTTTTACCTTGTAGCTTGTTGTTGTTGTCTTCTAAATTTGGCATCTAAGCACATAGGAAGTTTATGGTTTATGGTTACATCTAGACAAGGGCAGAACCTTGACATCCACTTCCATTTCTCAGGTAGAAGAAGGGTCCATTTATTAGAAAGACAAAGAAAGAAAGATCAAAGAAGTAGAATTGAATCAGTGCCTTAGAAACCCAGGGAGGAGAAAATTCCAGGAAAGGGAAATGTTATAAAGTCTTGCATATTACAGAGAGATTGAAGAGAGAAGATGGGTATGGTGATTACAATATCATGGATGATCTTGATGGAAGAGAGCAATTTTAGTAGACGGTTGGCAGACATAATTGGGCTTAATGAGTACAGGATGGGCACCAGGCTGACTGGACTAGGGTTTCTTAGCCCAGAGTAGTAGGAAGTTAGCTTAGGGAGACAGGGTTAGAGTCAAGATGTAGAGGCCTTTGAATTCCAAGATGAATAATTGAGACTTGATCTGTCACAGAATTGGGTCAAAGAAATTAAAAAAAAATGATGACTTTGGGACATTACTTTGGCTAGCTGTATGAACTGAATTAAAGGGAAGGCGGGAAGGAAGAGCAATTTGGATCTTATATTCAGCTAAGCAGGAGCTAGAGGTCAAAACTAGGGAGGTGCTGGGGTTTGTTAACTTAAGTATTTCTTTATTTACCCCTTGCTATAGAGCTAAAGGGTCAAAGTTACCATAAGATGTTATAAGGCAGTTGAAAACTACCAAAGTCAACCTGTACAAAAGAATGGAATTCTTAATATAGCACTTTTTACTGAGGCCTGCAAGCTTAGGAAATTAATCCCAGGAGATGAGAACTATTTTTTTGAGAGAGGCCCTACTCATGTTAAGTTGCTAAAGTTGTTTTGTATTCACTTTCAGAGGGAGAATTTATTTCCAGAAATATTTATATTTCAAACCAATTTCCTTTTGTTTTCCTTTTTAGGCTAGATCCTTCCACAAAAGTGTTCCCGTGAAAGCATTTCCTGCTTTTCTTCAGACGGTGAGTTGATTAACATAGAAGGCAAACGGGCCTCCCCGGTGGCGCAGCGGTTGAGCGCTGGGTTGCGAAGCTGCGCGCGGCCTCTGCGGCGCCGGTTCGATCCCCGGCTGCTCCCCGGCCACCAGAGGAGGGTCCCACATGGCGCGCGGACCTCTCCTGCCGCCCACTGCTCCCCTCAGCAGTGTACTTCGGTCCTTCTGTCTGTTCTGCTCCCCGCTCTGGCTCTGGTGAATTCTCTCGCCCTCCCGCGCTTCTGACTATACCCAGTGCATGTATAAACAAAACAAAACAAAGAAACCAGCAAACAAATAAATAAAGCATGCCTCTATTAAAAAAAAAAAAAAAAAAAACATAGAAGGCAAAGGCAGTATAATTAATAAAGCAGATGTGTATGATCTGTTTTATAAAGTTCCCAGTGCGGTTCTTTAGTTGGAGTCTTTGTTTTTGTCTCCCTTCCTTACGGTGAGCCTTGTTAATTGCATTCTGCTTTTGAAGATAATCACCCCTGTGTTTCCCCCAGGCAGTGAGTTGAGTTGTCCTTCGTGTTGACTGTAGTCAAACTACAGGAGTTTCAGTTGGCTCTGCCACTTACTGAGCTTGGGACAACTGTGTTCCTCAGTTTATGTACAAGTAAAATGGGAATCACAAAAGAAGCTACCCTAAAGGAGTGTTAGGCTACTAACAGCTATATAAATAGTTTTTAGTTATATGAATATTAGTTTTTCCTATTCATTTTTTCTCTGTAATGACCATGTTGTACCACTGGTTCCTCAATAGTTGTTCACAGATCACTGCTGGGCTGGCTGCATCTGAAAAACCAGGAAGACTTTTTGAAAATATAGATTCTGGGATCTTCTTACTGTATAAAACTTGCAGTATTGGGCGTCGGGGGCAATTTCTAGAAGAATCTGTGATCTTAAAAAGTTCCACTGGTTCAGGAGCCATTGTTGCAAAATATATTTAAAAAATGAGAATAACTACCAATTATTTAGCACATATTATAGGACAAGCCCTGACTTATTTCATACATTTTTCGTAGTCATCTTAGTTGAGATTTACTTCATTTTATAGATAAGATACCAATATTCAAATATTTATGATCTTTGAAAACATAATACCCAAATATCTTCTACCATTTTCTCTAAAATAAATTTGAAGATTTATTTCTGCTTTCATATCATCCATCCTAGGTCTCAGATCTGAATGTTCAAAATAATTTTGTTTCTTTACTGGGTTTGCTTATTATAAAAGTAGTAAATTGGGCCTCCCCGGTGGCGCAGTGGTTGAGCGCTGGGTTGCGAAGCTGCCCGCGGCCTCTGCAGCGCCGGTTTGATCCCCGGCTGCTCCCCAGCCAACAGAGGAGGGTCCCACGTGGCGCGCAGACCTCTCCTGCCGCCCGCTGCTCCCCTCAGCAGTGTACTTCGGTCCTTCTGCCTGCTCTGCTCCCCGCTCTGGCTCTGGTGAATTCTCTCACCCTCCCGCGCTTCTGACTGTACCCAGTGCATGTATAAACAAAACAAACAAACAAATAAATAAATAAAACATGCCTCTATTTAAAAAAAAAAAAAGTAGTAAATTGATATTTTTAACATTCATGTAATATGAGTATGCAAAAGAAGAAATTAGAATATTTTCATACTTTTATCCTTTCCAGAGATAATGTCTATTTGTCTGGACTTTTTATGTTTATATAATTAGATATCTATTTTTTATATACATGGGATATAAAACATCTCTATGTCAATATGTATTATTTTATATCATCATTTTTAGTGATTATTTATTTGGTTATTTGGTTTTAATGGTTTTTAGTGATAAACAATCAACTTATTTAAGTAAGCTCCATGAAGGTTAAAGACTTTGTTTTGTTTACTTCTCTGCAAAAGATTGTTCTCAACTCTGTCCATTAGAATCACTTGGGGATTGGGCAGAGGTAGATGGGGGAGGGGACACACAACAGTGTTGGACCCCTCCCAAAACAATTATGACATGTATCAGATTGGATCCTGGCATTGATATATATATATATTTTTTTTTGAAATTCACGAAATGTGTTTATTTTCAGTTTATGTAAGTGACATCTGAAATAAAAGAAGAAATAATTTTCAAATAGTGGAATCATCGATGGATTACACATTTAACTTTAGTATGAAAATTATTTTTAAACTTACAGAAAAGTAGATTTAATACCATAATGAGCTGCCAAATACCATCTTTGGGATTTAAGTTTCTAATATGTTGCTAAATTTGTTCCTTTTATTGATTTCCTGAGGTTTTTTTGAAGTGTCTTATTTCCCTAAACAGTAAATATTCCCAAAAAGGGACATCTTTTTAAAATTTTTATTTTTATTATTATTTTTTTGAGATGTATTGACATGCAACTTTATATTAATTTCCCTTTTTCAACATCCTCTCTAATACTTGTTATTTCTTATCTTTTCGGTACTAGCCTTTCTAATGAGTATTTTGATTTGTATTCCCCTGATGATTAGTTATGTTTTCATGTACCTGTAGGTGATCTGTATGTCTTTTTTTGGAAAATGTGTGTTGCTCTCTACCCAATTTTAAAATTGAATTGTTTTCTTGCTATTGAGTCATTTTAATTCTTCATCTATTTTATTTTTTTTTTTTTTTATTTTTTTTTTTTTATTTATTTATACAAGCACTGGGTATAGTCAGAAGCGCGGGAGGGTGAGAGAATCCACCAGAGCCAGAGCAGGGAGCAGAGCAGGCAGAAGGACTGAAGTACACTGCTGAGGGGAGCAGCGGGCGGCAGGAGAGGTCTGCGCGCCATGTGGGACCCTCCTCCGGTGGCCGGGGAGCAGCCGGGGATCGAACCGGCGCCGCAGAGGCCGCGGGCAGCTTCGCAACCCAGCGCTCAACCGCTGCGCCACAGGGGAGGCCCTCTTCATCTATTTTAAATATTAACCTCTTGTCTGATATACTATTTGTATATATTTTCTCCTATCCCATAGGTTACCTTTTCATTTTGTTAATGGTTTCCTTTGCTTTGCAAAAGTTTTCTAGTTTGATGTCGTTTCACTTGTTACGATCTCCAAAATATCCAAAATAATCAAAAAGATCTATGTCAGGGAACTTACCACCCTTTTTTTCCCCTAGGAATTTTATGGTTTTGGGTCTTACATTCAAGTCTTTAATTTTTTTGAGTTAGTTTTTGTATATGGTGTAAAAGAGTGGCCTAGTTTCATTCTTTTGTATGTGGCCAGTTTTCCCAATATTACTGAACAGACTGTCCTTTTACCAATCTTTTTTGGACTCTTTTGTCATAAATTAATTGACCATATACATGTGTTTATTTCTGGGTTCTATATTCTTTTCCATTGATCTATGTGTCTGTTTTTGTGACAGTATCATACTGTTAGAGTACTATAACTTTGTGATATAGTTTGAAATCAAGGAGTATGATGTCCACAGCTTTGTTCTTTCTCAGCATCTTTCCCCCCCTTTTTTAATCATAAATACCTAATCACATAGAATAAAACTAAATGTTTCCTTAGTATAATCTAACAACCAGTCCATATTCACATTTCCCTGATTGTTCCCAAAAGGTGTTTTTATGGTTGATTTGTTCAAATCAAAATTGAGGTTAAGACCTACCTGTAGTGCTTGGTCTTTTTAAAATCTATAATAATTTTTATTGTTTTCTTGCATTAACATGGCATTAACGTAACAGTTGTTTTGTGAAATGTCTTATTATATGAATTTGTTTACTTCCTTAGGGATTAACTTCCCCTTCTATCCCTTATATTTACTATGAATTTGGAATTGTATCTGCTGGTTTTCTTAGGTCAAGGTTAGCACATTTTTGACAATTTTAGGTGATGATTTGTACTTCATATTGCATTTATCAGGAGGCATGTCTTGAAGTCTCACCTTGCAAAAGTTTATCTTTTTCTTTTCAGCCTCTTCGATAAAAATATCTTTATTTAGATCTTTTACATAAGACATAAAGTTCTCTCCTTTACATATATAATATTCTAGCATAATTAAAATGCTTCCAGTTTTCCAAAGACCTTGTATTTTTAAGAATCTGATTTTTCACATGCTGTTTCCTCACCTGGGAAGAGGAGAATCCCTTCTCCGTCTGGCATTGATATTTTTTGAAAAGCATGTTGCTTAGTTTTGGTTTTGAGCTTTAAAAAACAGGTCATTTTCTGTTTATCTTCTAGGATCTCTTGCTCTCTTTTATACACATACATTTTATAAGCTTTATCTTAAATCCATCCAGCTATATATAGTGTGCATTCATTTTACTGCAGTACAATATTTCACTGTGTGAAAAAATTATTTTGTTTTTCTTGGCAATGAACTTCTGGGCTGTTTGCAGTTTTTACTAATATAACATAAAGCAGATAAGCACACTCAGGGACATTTCCTATTGTATATATTGGTTTTAAAGAGTAGATACTGAATTTGTATGTATGCTATATTTATAAGTGTATAAAAAACTGTGGGAGCAAATACATTACTCTTTGGGTTTTTATTTTTTGGTCATCTGCATGCTAAAGACTACAAGTATAATCTCTGTTGGATCACACGGATTGTGCTGTGGAACTCTAGGGGGTGCTGTGTGCGTAGACTGAGAAGGAAGTGAGGCCTCAAAATCGTGTAGTGCAAAACTAAATGGTTTCTTTCTTTCTTTTTTTTTTTTTTTAAGATTTATTTATTTATACAAGCACTGGGTACAGTCAGAAGCGCGGGAGGGTGACAGAATTCACCAGAGCCAGAGCGGGGAGCAGAGCAGGCAGAAGGACCGAAGTACACTGCTGAGGGGAGCAGCGGGCGGCAGGAGAGGTCTGCGCGCCATGCGGGACCCTCCTCCTGTGGCCGGGGAGCAGCCGGGGATCTAACCGGCGCTGCAGAGGCTGCGGGCAACTTCACAGCCCAGCGCTCCACCGCAGCGCCAACAGGGGAGGCCCACTAAATGGTTTCTGTTTATTAAAAAAGTTACTTAAACATATTATAAATTAACAATAACTGAAACCCAGAAATAAAACGTGCTGTCCATTGCGGGTATTTTCCATGCTGTTCCCCTTTCAATAAAACTTTGTCAGGTTTTGTATGTTAGAGGAAGCATGGGCTGACTTTTATGGAGACCTGTTCTTCTCCCTGGTTGCAAATGACCATCTTGCAAGAATAGGAAACCCTGTTCACAAAATAATGTTTTTAAACAAATAACTTGAGCTCCCTCTTGTGGCACAGTGCAGGTGGGAGGAGATGAGGGTATCATTTTCCTTGACTGAAACATCCTTTTGTTGTCCATAGAGGCCAGTAGTAAAACATTGCAAATTATAATTTCTCTAATCGTTTGCACTTTATTTTGTTATTTTTTAAAAGATTTTATTTTTTATTTATATAAGAACTGGGGTACAGGCCAGATGCGCGGGAGGGTGAGAGGATTCACCAGAGACAGAGCGAGGAATAGAACAGGCCGACTGATGAAATACACTGCTGAGGGGAGCAGCAGGCCAGACAGGAGAGGTCTGATTGCTATGTGGGTTGCTCCGAGGCCGGCGAGGATTGAACTGGCACTGCAGAGGCTGCGGACAGCTGCACAGCACTGCGCTCAACCGCCTATGCCACCAGGGAGGCCCTAAACTTTTACATTTTAACCAGAACACTACAAATTACAGTCAGAAGCTAGATACTTCTAGTAATAGTTCTGTGATACTGTTTACTGGTTTAATAGAAACTTCTTAGAAGTTATCTTTATTTTCTCTTTCCCTTTTAAAATTCTCATTTAGAAAACCATCTCAGGGATGCTAAAATAGTCTTAATACTTATAATTTTCTTTTTAAAGCTTACTCATTTTATGATCTGGTGATCCCTATACTCTTTTTCCAGATTGCTCTGGAGGACTATTTAAAGAAAATTCAACAAGTGGATTTTGATGTTTTCCACCCATCTTTACAGCAGAAGAACACACTACTTCCATTATCTTTGTATATTCAGTCATGGAGAAAAAGATATTAAAATTATTTTATGGTACTGATGCTAATTTACTTTTGTTAGTTTTATTAAAGTATAGTAGTTAAGGTTCTTCTTTACAAACAACGGAATGGCCTCAGTTCACTTAAGAAGAAAAGGAATTCATTGGATGGGTGTGAGTAGCTTACAGAAATGGTGAGAAGTTGCTGAGGGGAGAAATTGTCCACGTTGTACCACAAGCACTGCCGTTATCACCACTAGCCCCGACTGTGTCTGCTGTGCTGTCCCAGTGAAGGTGGAGCCCCCGGAGGGACATTGTTTTAGCAAAGCTTGAGCTGCAGGCCATCCTTCAGCTACCACAGGTCAAGGAGAGAATGCTTCCTTCCTCACCGGTAGTGCGCCTTACATGCTGAACCAATAGTCAGGTGTCCAGTATGGCTGGAAAATATGTTTATTTAGGGGTCACAGAGAGTGAATTTAATATTTGAAGAGTGTTGGTCACTATATTGAAGGCTCTGTATCCCTCAGTTCCTCAACCCTGTAAAAATTTATCCATGATGATACAACAGCTTTATGGTAAGACAACTGGCTGACAAGAGCTGGAACCCTAATTTGGCTTTAGGTCTGGCTGATTTGAAAACTTTTACTTTTTTTTAAACCCACTGCTTCACTTTCTGTCATTCAGCATTATTGTGACTAGTATTGAACATTCATTAAGAGGATACTACATTTTTTTCAAACTGCTCTACTAGTTGAGCCATACAGCAATAAGCATATACTTTCATCAGTGTTCTCATTTGGTCTTCCTTAAAGCCCTGTGAAGTAATAAAAAAAAAAAAAAAAAAAAGAAATTGGCAATGAAAAATTTTCATTATAGAAGATACACTAATTGCAAAAAATAAAATTGTTTGCATTGCTGGTAATTGGCAGATCTGGATTGTGAATGAGCCTCTGATTCCCAAGACCAGGATTATGCCAGTTTTCCTGCCTTTTCAATGGCCTTGTCTCCTGCCCACCTACCTCTGATTTTAGCACCTTTTGGCTTCAGCTGTGAATTACTTTATTTGGATTAGTAATGACTTAAAATATAACATTTTTGCAAATAAAACTCAAACCTGAGAGCAAACATTGGTTTATTCAAATCTTGAGATCCCCTAGCATCTAAATGGCTTCTGATTTACAGCACGTAGAGGTTAATAAATGTATAATTGTGTGAATGTGCAATGTAACTGTATACATAGTATAATCTTAGTTGAATGCTGATGCTGAAAACATACCCTCTTAGTTTAATTGTGGGACTCTTTCAAGAGTCTTTTACCTTACGTAAAAAAGGCAAGTACAAGGAAATGGGACATATTTCCTCTTGGGACTCTGAATGAATCTAGGGTTGAAGAGTTCTTTAGAGACAGTCTTTGTTAGTAAGCTTTGTCTGTGGATCTTCCCAGGTTAAATTTGGCAGCAATCAGCTGCTGAGTATCTTGGTTCCTGTCTAAGAGTCTTAAAAAGAAAGGTTTAAACACTCAGCTGAATTACTTATTCTTTTTTTTTTTTATGTTTGTGTGTGTGAGTGTTTATTTTTTTTAAAGATTTTTTTTTAAATTTATTTATTTATACAAGCACTGGGTGCAGTCAGAAGCGCGGGGAGGGTGAGAGAATTCACCAGAGCTCGAGCGGGGAGCAGAGCAGGCAGAAGGACCGAAGTACACTGCTGAGGGGAGCAGCGGGCAGCAGGAAAGGTCTGCGCGCCATGTGGGACCCTCCTCCGGTGGCCGGGGAGCAGTTGGGGATCGAACCGGCGTTGTAGAGGCTGCGGGCAGCTTCCGCAACCCAGCGCTCAACCGCTGCACCATCGGGGAGGCCCTGAATTACTTATTCTTTATTGGCTCAGCAACCAATTTACTACAAAGTAAATAATTTCAAAATACTTCCTAAACCATTTCAAATTTGATGCTTTGAGATTTGGATGAACATAAGTTTCCAGTCATTTAGAGATTAAGATAGGGTCTTACTCGGTGACACTGTACTATTAATATACTGTACTATTAATTTCCCGGCATAAAAGATACTCCCGTAGATGGTGCCAACATTGTTTTCCATTTATCAAATCTCTATTTTTGGTTAGAGTGATTTAAAGGAGAGAAGAGAGATACAGTGTCTTTTTTTTTTAAAGATTTATTTACTTATACAAGAACCAGCGTACAGGCCAAATGTGTGGGAGAATGAGAGGATTCACCAGAGACAGAGTGGGGAACAGAACAGGCAGACTGACTGAAATACACTGCTGAGGGGAGCAGCAGGCGAGACAGGAGAGGTCTGCTGCGCCATGTGGGTACCTCCGCGGCCGGCAGGATTGAACAGGCACTGCAGAGGCTGCTGCAGCTTCACGACAGCTTCACAGCGCTGCACTCAACTGCTTGCGCTCCAGGGTGGCTGGAGAGAGGTACAGTTTCAAACCGTTTAAGATGTATTTTGATTCTTAGGTAGGTGGAGAGCAACAGAGAAAAAAAATGTTAAGTATAAATTACTAATTAATCTCAATGTACGTAAAATTAAATATTTTATAAAATATGTTTTGGGCAGTTTCCAATCAACAGCAGTATTCTTTCTCACTGGTTAAATCTTCTGATGAAATTAAATTACTTATGAGAAATAGAACAGCGTCTAACACTTGTGTGAACTTCAGTGCAAATTTGGACAGGTGATGTACTGTCTTCTTATACATTAATCTTCATAGAAGAAGTGGGTCTTTACTTTCCAAATGATAAAACTGCCTCAGAGATATTATGTTCTAGGTCATACAGTCATTAAAATTAGAGGTGGATGCCATATCCTTATTTTAATGCCAAAGCCCACAACTCGTGTTTGTTAGTTTTTTTTTTTTTTTTTTTTTTTACCATTCTTGAGATTGTAAAACAAGTTTAAAAATCTCAAGGGCACAACTTTTTTTATAAGTAAGTGTTACTGCATAAATTTCAGGTACAAATTAGTTTATAGTTGCTATATAAATTCCCACTACAAATTAGGTGAGAGTGAAATAAATAGGTAATTGAAATAGATATTGAGTGCTGGTCACTGAGTATATTCATCAGGGGCATAATCACCACTGTGGAAGTCCAAGAAGGTTTCCCAGAGGATGTGGCATGCAGGAATTGTCAGGAAGTTTGGGTAGGAGCCAGGGTTTGGGGAGCAGAGCATGTCTGAGGGAGCAGTGTGAATAAAGGCTGGGAGGGAGAATGGATGGGGTATGTCAAGACTTAATTTTTTAGCTTAATTCACTTAAGTAAAAGAACAGAATGTAATGTCCAGAGTACTTAGGAAAATTTGTGAATAAAAAGTGACCACAGCCCCTCGTCTAGTGAAACTTTTTGAATTGAGATCAAAGACTTGGGAGTTTATATTTTCCTGTTTCAGCTAATCCCCAGGTGCCCTTCAATTTGTTTTAGCTCATATAAATAAGATTTCTCTGAAGACATTGGCCTAATTGATTGCCTTTCCAGAAAGATCCACAGAGTTGTAAACATGCAGATGGTAATTGAAAATTGTGTAATTGAAAATTGTTTATTTTCAATTTGTCTGAACTACTGTTTGTATCCATAACGAGGACTGAGCAAGAAACCACTCAGAACTGGGAAGGCTACATTAAATACTACATTAAATAACTCTACACTTCACTCTACCTGTTTTTTTCCTATAATGAACATACATTTCTTGGATTACTGTAAAGCTACTTCTTAAAACTTAGGACCCTTCTAATGAGTAAGACAGTGGTAGGAAGGAAATGTGATCAGTTTATGGAACAATTAAAAGATAAACAAATACCCATTTTTCCATCAAATCATACATACCTATTAAAAGAATTTATTCAACACAAGCACAAATAAATTACTAAATATGCAACATTCTGTAGTATAAGCTGAGCAAATTTAAAAATTTAGATACAGTGCAGTATAGTGCTATAAAGCACCTGGTTCAATTCCCAGCTCTATCACCTTCACAGCAGTGTAACCTCAGCAGTATTATATGAACTCCGTTAGTAAAATGGACAAAATCATCATAATCTTGAGGGTTGTGGAAAGCAAATTAGCTAAGACATGTCATGTGCTTAGAATTGTGACCTGCATGTAGTAAACAGTAAATGTTATTGTACAGAAGTCACAAACTGGCAGTCTGAATCACATTAGGCCCTTCAGGCATGTTTTGTTTTGTAGGCTTGATGTTTAAAAAAGAATGAACTTGAATGCCTTCAGACAGGATGTGTACTCTCCATGTGGCCACAGGCCACAGCGTGAGCTGTCTTACACACCTAACCTATTCATACACTCATGTTACTTGCTTACTCTATAAGCTCCCAGTTTGTGATGGACAGCTTAGGAGAATTTGTGGGGAATGGATTAATAACAAGTGATGGCCAACTTGAAGCTAGTTTCATGAAGCATAGCTATGCTTTCTCCTGAAAGTTTTCCTATTTTTAAATTGTTTACCCATCTGTCCCTCACTCAGTCAAAGTCCTATGAGTGCAAGATGTTTTATTATTTTTTTAAAGATTTATTTATTTATGCATATGAGAATTGGGGTACAGGCCAGAGGTGTGGGGGGTGAGAGGATTCACCAGAGACAGTGGGGAACAGAACAGACAGATTGACTGAAATACCCTGCTGAGGGGAGCAGCGGGTGAGTCAGGAGAGGTCTGCTGCGCCATGTGGGTTGCTCCCTGGCTGGGGATCGAACTCATGCTGCAGTGGCTGCGGATTGCTTCTTAGGTTGCATCTCAACTCTTGAGCCACCAGGGAGGTCCAAGATGTCTTATTCTTCTGTGTGTTCTCAGAACCTTCCATAGATTATTGATGCTGTTTCATAAATCTTTGTGTTAGTGATAGGTGGGGGTGATGGCTCTTGGAAATCACTGGTGGGTTTGGACAATACGTGAAGGAGGAATTGCGAGTGTGTCATAGAGGTGGGGGTTGGTCAGTGTATATGGCTTTTAAGAAACTAGGTTGTCAGGAACAATTGGGAATCAGGGCGTGAGGAAGGAAAAGTGAGGCTGAAAATAAATAATTCATGGCCCCATTGAGATTGGGTTTAAAGAACAGCATGAAATTTGAGAATAAGCATTTCATAAATGGTCCATAATACATATATTTTTGTATATGCTTGTGGATAGTTGTATTTTTTCCCTGGTATAATCATGTCTTTGGCGAAGCAGTACCATTTGAATTTGATGTAAAAGAGAATGTCTTTATTCTTAGTTGGTAAGTCCATGGGTTGACTTTTATATTACCCTATACAAATACTGTTTTCCTTTGAGTCTCACTTTTCTTATTAAACAGTCCTGCCTTCATGTTCTGTGTGTTTTCCTTTTTATTTTTAATCATGATTAAGCCACCCAGCTGCTTAGTT